AGCTGAGATAAATATAGTATAAACGGTATGTCTAAAACTTACTCATTCAGCTCTTGCAACTTGAAATTATTCATCACTGCCTCCCAGTACTGTAAAATTGAAAAAAGATTGTCTACCTCCACTGCCACTGTCACCTGCTGGTGCTACTCCTACTATCACTACTATTACTTGAGGTCCCGGCCAGTTCCGGCCAGCTTCATGACATGTTTAAATGTGGACAGATTTCTTGTCTTGTTCCCACAGAAAATATCTTATAATTCAGTCTTCTCACAAAACATTATTCTTAATCAAACTAACTTAAAAGGGTAATCAGTATCATATCACTAGCTTCTGAATCGTGATTAAGAGTTAAATTGCTCGAAAGCCACCAATTGACATACCCAGCATATCCCGTCATGCCTTTTTTAAGAGCAGGTTATTTGGTTCAGATGTGTTTGCTGCAGGTCTAGTTAAAGAGCTGCCCGGCCCTCTGCCCTCAAATGTCTTCCTCCAGCAGCATTCGCTTTTTAAGTGGCCGTGGACTGTTCCAGTGCATACACCACGGTGAAATAGACTTTTGCTCTTTTCTTTTCTTGTCACAAAAGGCCGGGCACTTCGCTGGAGTTCCCATTCCCCTTTTACATAGTGATAAGACAGCCATTATCCTTTGAACCTTTCTTTTCACCGAGCCTGGAGAAAAGGAAGAGTGAAAGAGGAGGAGGAGGAGAACAGAGAAAGATTTCTTCCCTGAGGTGAGCCTGGCCTCACCTCTGTGTGGTGGGCTTTTTTGTGAGCAGTGAAGAGGTCCTTAACCTTCTATCAGATGGAGGCACACAGTTGTGTTCTGCTTGAATAACTACATTGAAAAGCCCTGAAGCACGGGAGATGGTTCTATAGACTCCGCAAGTGGCAAAGAGTGTGAGAGAGAGAGTGTGAGAGAGAGTGTGAGAGAGAGAGAGAGATACTGTATTGTGTGGCTGGAGTGTGACCCTCACATGATGTGCACCTCTGTTAAAGTGCTCATCAGTGCTTCACTGTGAATTTGTGTTCTTTGTTGTATGGGTCTCATCAACAGCGTGGTCTTCCGCTTATAATGTCACAACAACAGCTCACACATTTATATAATACAGTCCCATAAATAAACCTCTCTTCATTTTACAAAGTAGCAATATGTTTTAGCAATGACAACCACAATGACTCTCAGTAGAGCAGATACCTACACCAAGGTCCCTTCAATTCAATTAAGCCAAACCAAATTGCACACACAAATTCCAGTCCACTAAATATGTGATTTTTTTTCCCATCACGATCCATACATTATTCTCTGGAAAATCAATCCTGTTGTTGCTATTTTATCCCCACCTCCATATTTTCAAATTTCAACTTCAAGCAAGCAACTATCTGGCGGTATTAAACAGTTGAAACCACGGAGGGCAAAGCACGTTTTCGTTTGCCTCAACCCCGTGCTCGCAGAACTGCAGACTGATCAGTAATGCCAACTCACAATTATTGTTTTGTTCTCACATATACTGTTCTGTGTACTAGCACACAGTATATGTTTTATAGTAAAAAACATAATTTGCCCCTTTGTGTAGATCCGTGCCAAAATGTATTTGGCTTCTTCTTCAGCCTTCACTCCTCCCTTCCACCAAGTCTCCTGGAAATCTGTATGGCAGCTTTTGTATAATCCTGCTTTCAAACAAACAAGCCAACAATTGATTAAACCAACTGACCAATCAACAAAAAACAAGAGCACAGGGGTTAATACAAAACCTCCTTGGCAGAGGTTTCAAAGGAAGTGGTTATATTTAGCTACCTAATGAAACAAACTCAGTACGTATTAGTACAGAAATCATCACCAGTGTTATGTTTGCGCAGGTGCTTGTGAGTAATATTTTGTATTTTAATGAGTTTCAACTCAACACCACATCTCATATTAAACTAGACAAAATGGTTACTTACACCATAACAGTTGTCATCACAGTTTCTGTTGAAGGCGCCACCACTTTGTGAAGTCTTGAAGAAAACAAGAAAAAATGTCTGCTGGTGTTTCAATCTACACTTCCTGCTGATTTGTGCGCTACAGAGACTGTTTTATCAATATTATTGATATTAGATGACAGAAGTCAAATGCAATACATTTCTGCCTCCCGTGTAAATGATCACGAGCTGTTGACCATTCTTGTCGAACTAAATGTTTACCATAGTTGGTAAACACACCATTCTGTCTTTGCTCTCCAGTGAAGCTTTCACGCTGTCAAATGTGGAGACGTTATAAATTGTTCCTGGTGTTCTCAGCCAGTGGGGGAAAAAAAAGATTTGGATAAAGTTTTTTTTCTATTTCATTTAATTCCAGGACAGTATAATTATCTGGCTAGGTACTGAATGTGACAATGGAGGAACCTTACAGCAAAAAAAAAAAATATCCGAAAGTGTCTCTGTGTTCTTCATACTCCTGCAATGAAATCACAACCCCCTGCACGACAAATTCCAGTTATTCTACTTCTTGCCACTTTAATGCGATTTTCATTAGATTCCGGGGCATGAGATAGGGGTTGGGTTACGGGACATTATAAATGTCTTTTTATAAAACTGTTGCTGCAGGTGGTATTGCTTGGCAGCTGTTTATTTGTTCCCCACTTTTATATGTTTTTCCATTGTGCAGGCATTAGATTGCACTCTGTGACAAAGCAAACTTATCTGCTGCATCAAAATGTAAGATTTGAGGGAAATTAACAACTTCATTAGTGTTTTTTTTTACAAAATTGCAAGCTGCGGTATATAGGGCTGATGAATTTATTCTCACACTTGACTTTTAATTTCTGTTTCATCTTCTAACTAGCTGTTAAACCTCACATAGACTGCCTGCCTCACTCAGAGAAGGAGTGAGCAAGTGAAGCTTTAGTTTAATTGTTTATTCAAGACAATTGATGGAGCAATTCTTACTAGTTAAACACAATATATTTTGCATTGCTCACTCACACGTGACGCTCTCTACTCACTGTAACAGCAAACTCTTTGTAATAAGGTGGTATTATAATTAACCTCCATCCACCTGCAGGCTCTGATTCCCCACCCACTTCAGGAGCTTAGTTCTGTGTACTGAGTGACAATACTCTTTGTGAGCGTTTCCCAGACATTAAAACATTTCCAGCCGTCAGTTTGTCATTTCAAGTCAAGTCAGCATCACCTTTTTTAAACTTTAACCTTTAAGTTGATGAATGCTCTCAGTCAACAGATGTCTGGATCCTAATTTATTTGAAAAACAAGCTGAGCCCCTCCCAGACAACCAGTCTGCCCTATAGAGCATCAGAGAAACACTGATATTTATAACGCAAAACTGCCTCAATAGGAGGACACTGTGGCAGATTATTTGACTTCTAATAACCTCCTGAACCACAAACACTGAAGGAATCCATCCATCCATCCATTATGTATACAGCTCAACCTTTTGAGGGTCTCACAGGGAGCTGCAGCCAGTCTTTGATGACACTGGGTGAGAGGCAGGGTACAACCTGGATAGGGTGACAGTATATTGCAGGGAAGCGGCCGCAATGGCTGGAAAAAACCCATGCAAACACAGTGGGAACACGCCAAAGAGAGAGAGCCTGGTCAAACCGATATTCAACCTTTTGCTGTGGGGCGACAGTGCTAACTGCTGTATCCCCTTGCACCACTGAGGGAATCCTAACTTAAAAATAAAATGGCACTGAGCTGTTCAACAATGAAGTGAATCCTTTATATAAATGTTGCAGGTTAGATAAAAAAATAAGATGCAGTTTGGTACCATTGTTACCTTAAGTGTATGACATTGTTGGGGAGCAACAGCCCCTCCCTCCTGGTTCCGAGATACTGTTTTAACCCAGCTGGACATTCTTGTTCACCAGTGAAAATCCCTGTTAAATTCATATACCGTGTATGCAAGTTATTTTAACTCCAGATGACTGTTGCTGGCATTATTTTTTTTTGTATTTTTGGGGAAGTGCAAAGAAAGTGTGCTGCATGTGGCCTGTAAGCCATGCATTGAGTAACTGGGCCCTACAAGCTGTGCCAACGTCTTGTGTGCCAAATGTGTGGCAGGAGGGTGGCATGAACAGTGAGCCAGTACTAGTCTGCCTGGCTGCCAGGCACTTCTCTTTATCCAATCAGACAGTTCAGCTTGAGTGAGACCCCTATTCTCGTCTCTTCCTATCGCCTCCTGAAGCTTTGTCACCCTCCTAAGAAAAACAGAGGCACATGCTTGTGTGCGCATCTTTTCCCACCGCACAGCGTCAAGCCTCCTCGGTACGCCGTTACACTTACCTAGAGACCATAACCAGGGAGAAAATGGTGCAGAGTGTTCCCTCTTTGTTTCTGTCTGCTGCTGCTGCTGCTACTCTCGATATTCCTCTGTCCTTTTTTTTTTTATTATTCTCCCAAGACAAAATCACAGTTTAAATGAGCATTTCTTCAAAGTTATAGGGAGCAGAGTGAGTCTGGGAGATCTGTTTTTCAGGGATAGGTGAAGAAGAAATGCTGTCTGTCTGTGTGTGGCATTATCGGACATGATGAGGGATGATATTATGGGAGACACTGCTGCCGATGCGGCTGCAAGATGAGGAAGGATCCCTTTTTTCTCACGCTCGCTTAGTGGAATGTGTCGATCTGTCACTTTCCCCAAGACCGGACCTCAGTGTTCATCACAATAAACATACTGTCGACACAATTCTCCTTTTTTTCCCTTTTGCTTGTCATTATTATTAATTTCCTGCCCTTTTTTGTCACATTTCACTCACATTGAATCCATGCAATGAGATTGTTTAAGCCCTGTATCATTAAAATTACAAACTAAAGAAAATGGTATCCTGACAATAATCCTGTGGCAGCAGAATGATTACGTAGCAGCGTATGAAAGAACTACTTGTAAATCAGCAGGAATCTATATTCTAAGAATAATTACAGTGAGATGAGATGTGATTCAACGGGGAGAGAAAGACATGAAGTACCACAGCTAATGTCACATCTTCTCTTGTGTCTTCCAGGTTGATGACGCCATGCTTATGTTCGATAAGACTACTAACAGACATAGAGGTAAGTAACACAGCTTGTGTTCTTGTGTCTCTCCATTTTTGTCTTTCTGAAAGGTGAGAAAATAGTCATTCTATGTCCTTTCCCCATGAGATAACACAGAACAGTTCCATTTCACATGATATTAGGTGTACCATCTGTTCAACAATGGGAGCGTGTCAAAGTAATCAATAAGCTGGTATGGTGTTTAGAATGTCTGAGCGTTAGATGTTGTGTGTGTGTGCGTGCGTGTGTGTGAGATGATGCTGGTGTGAGTGTTTCAGAGAGGTGCTTAAAGGGTGTAAAGATTGTGTGATGGTGGGTGCTGTGCAGTCAGATAACAGCATCAGATAAGGCCCAGGAGAAGCACGGACGTTATCTCTCTCTCTCATCGGCTCCTTATCTTAGATGAGGGGACGTTTCTCTCTCAAGCAGAGGACTTTCCAAAGACAGGTTCCTGCGCTGCACCACAATGCGGCGTTGTGTATTTAAGGCCACAGCGGCGTGCTCGCAGGCCAGACTTAACCGGCCAGACTTAACCATCAGTAAGCACATATAGGCCCTGTCACTTATCCTGAGCCCAGTGCCGTGGATGTTACCGGCTATGAATCCTCACATAGGTGCGTTGAAGGAACTTTTAGGAGACAGGCTGTCCCCGGCTGTGTACGTGTCCATGCATCATTGTGTGCGAGAGCAGTCGACAGGCACTGACAGGTATTTCCACGAGAAAAGGGAGCAGACACTTCTCCGTTTGTCACATTAGTCAGCTCGCTTGTAGGCAGAGCTGGCATCGCACCATCTCACTGAACTGGGCTGAGCGCTGTTTTGCCACATGAATGTAAACATTTTTTCGGCACCGAGCGACTCATCCGCTCCGTGTGTATAAATGTTTAAGTGCAGTTGGCGTGCACTGAAAGCTGTAGTGTCTGTTTTATGTGCGAACTCTCTCTTCCTACTGTATCTGTGTCTCTGTGTGTGCTCTGCATGTGTGTATGCTGTGCAGACAAACTCTTTGAGTCTGGTAAACAGTTTCTAAGTGTGGAACATGTGAACTATACTGGAAGTGATCTATGGCTTTGAGGGGATTTTGATCTGTAGTGACAGAACCCAGTGTGAGTGTGTGCTTTGAGACGGAGGCTCTTTCTTTTTTTTTCCCATCCGTCTCTCTCGCTCTCTCTCTCCCTCTTATTTCTGGCTTGTCTCTCTCTTCTGTCTGCTGCACTGCCAGCCCTCTGTGGAAGGGGATGGGCGCTGCGCTCAGGGAGTGTGTTAGGCGTTTGCCTCTGGGCAGCAAAATGCCCTTCAAATGAAGACAATGATGGAGAAACAGCCTCCGCGGCAATTTTTCTGATGACAGCGGACGTATTTATATTGAGTGTGACACCGAGGCAGGTGGCAGGTGCAGCTCCTCCTGCACTTTGGGTTTCTTCTAACTAGCATTTCTGAATTTGGTTCCAATGGTAATTTGAGACGGTAGATACGCATGTGATGCTTTAATCTTAAAAATACAACAGGTCTTCCAGACGAATTGCATCAAATATTACAGTCCCATAAGAAAATTTGAATAATTCATCGGAGCCATTGGTGCGATTGTGTAATATTAATGGCTCAGCTGCCCTGTGACCACAAATGAAAGGACACTGAATAGATTATAAGAGAAACCAGTGCCTGTGCCCCGCTTTACCACTCCCCACCGATCTAGTGATGGGCATCTGGCAGCCCACAGTCCAAATCAATTTTCCACCTGTGTTCATTTTTATCTTACAGATTGATTCATGAAAAAATAATTTCCCATTTTTTTCCCTGCTGCACCGCAATAGAAATAACACATTCTTTATTTAACAATTCAAATGTCACACATCGCAATTCTTCTAAAACCACGCTGCCTTTTTTTTCCCACCATAATTATAAGTCCCCAAAATAACAGTTCACTTTGTGACTCTAATGCTTTGCAAAGTAGCGCAGGAAGACTATCTTGTCCTACAGCGTGTCTTGCAGGTGTAACAGCAACACAGACACGCTGTAATAAAAGCGTGATGTCTAGCTTACATATGTAGGTGCACTGCAACTTCCTTTTAAATCTGCTCTGAATCTAAACCTTAAAAGAACAACAGCTGCATTACATTTCTAGAGTTTTTGCCGAGACAAAAATAAGCAAATAGGAAGCAAATGTCCTCGCAATAAGCACATTTGTTTTTATATCTCGAGCATTTGTGAGGTTATAAAAATAATTCTTGTGTTGTAATCTAATTAAACACAATGTGGAGAAGAGACTGCACACTAACAGTATATTAGGGTGATGTGCATAACTGGCTGATGGATCGCAGCAGTTAAAGGTGATCTCTTACTAGGCCTGCTGTGACTCACACGATGACCTCACAATCACCTCACTTTAATGTTATCTCTGCGCCTTTTTATTTCCCCTATCAAGCTTTTTATTTTAAATAGAAGCCGGATTGTATAAGGCCATAATGCTTTGTATTTTCTGGTTGTTTATCGTGTATGAGATTCATGATCGCCGCTTGATTGTAAGTGTGTTTTCTTTGGGGCTGTGGTGAATTGGATAGAGGACAAACGTCACACTCGACTAGTAGCAGCATTGTCCTTCAGACGGTCCCCGTGAGGCTGGCGAAACGACAGCCAGAGGAGACACTCTCTACCCTTCTCGTTTTCTCTCTGCGATTTTTCTTTTTTCTTGACTCTATCTCTGCCAGTCACTCAGTCTTATTCTTTCCTCCTTTTCTTTTTACACAGTTGCACTATTTCTGTCCCACACCATTCTCCTGCACCCTGCCCGTCATCGTCATCCCTCCGTTTTCTCCCGTTTTTCCCTCTGTCTCTCCTGCTAGAGGACACTCGCTGTAAGCAAAGCTCCTCACAAAGGCGCACGCTGCACACCATCTCCTTGGCATTTAAAGGAGTAGAATACGGCCAATTGTGTTGGAAATTGAACTCTCTAAAGCCTCCCTTCCCACTGCAGCAGTTCATTGTGGGTGAGTTCAGTGTCTTTGGTGAGCAGCTTGGGCTGTCCAGAGGTTGATGCCAGAGGGCGCCCATTGTTCCACGTTCTACTGCAGTGTCCCCATCACTCTGCCTCCTTTCAAAATCCTATTCTTCACCTGATACTCATTTTGTGACAGAGGAGAAAACGAGAATCTGTACATTCGGAATACTTCACAGAGTAATTTTTGATTATTCTTGTTATTTCTGGATGGTTTATTCAGCGGTGTGGGAGGTCCAGATTGCAGTATGTGCATGGGTGCGCACCAAAAACGCAGGCTTCACCCTGGGACAGGGCCGCAAGCACAGCAGCCACGTACCAGTCGTCATTCCCAACACCCTTCACATGACTTCACGTGCCTCCGTCAAATGACAGGACGAGCCGCACGGGTGGGAAATAAAAGGGTTTGGAAAAGCCCTGAGTCAAAATCATTCTGTCATCCACTGCCTACTTCCGTCAGATGACATATGATCCATGATTTAAAATTTGATTTTTACTGTCAAACCCAATTGGTAGTGCCAAGGAGAGTTTTGCTGAGGTGATAAAAATGGCATCTCTTAGAAAATTGTGTGATGAAAGAGTGGCACAGTGGAAAGTATCGTTAATAATCAGTGTTTAATTTAATAAGCAAAAAGTACAGTGGATGATTGACGAATTCTTTGTTTTTCTACCGATACGCATCCTTTAATAAGTGCCACACAATAATTAGTCATCCCTCATCACCGCTCTCTTCATCAACACATCTCTGTGGCATTATTCCATGCACTTAATCCATGCAGGGCCTTTTCTATAAGACAGATTTATTATAAAGAATACACTTACACTTCATCTGATTTGATTGTAACACAAACAGCTTCTCAGCATCATGCCTAATCCACACGAATCAAAAAGGATAAGTGCATGCAATGCAAATGAGCACATTGCAATCCCAATGCTAAATTACTCTCTTACAATTATAAGTAGCTCTTTAATTGGGTCAAAACTGCACACCACAGTGATTGTTTGATTCATGCTCGGCAAAAGTCACTGCTAAAAACCAGTGTCAGCCCTGGAGTTTTCATCAACGTCTTACTTTTCAACAAGTTTTCAGTTAATTACTGTGATTTAAAAAGAAATTGAAGGTGGCATCCATATCTATTTTGGGGGATACACAGGTTCTCTCTCACCTTTTTAATGACACCATTAAGAAAGATGATGAAATCCTGGTGTAACTTTCTTTCATATTGTTCAACATTAGTTTGTAACCAGACAGCACCCATTAGGGTAGCATCATAATGACTGTGACTGATTGTAAGCCAAACTCCTTCTTTATTTGAATGATGCAAGTAATAGTAATGTGCAACAGTGTTGGGAACTGGGATAAAGAGATGGAGGCTGAATTGTTCAAGTCACCAGTCTTCTGCGTATGAGAGAGCCACTGTGCGAGGCACATACTAGAAGCTGTGTTCCTGGAGAAGAAGGGGGAATCGTGGTTTTGTGCAAGGACGGGGCCAAGGCTGTGTGAATTTGTGTATAGGCCTTTTTTTTCTGCAGGCTTAAAGGGCTGGTTTTCTTCTTGGCAGACGAACAGAAGGCTGCATTGTGTGTGTCTGTAATCTCTTTACCTGGATTGGCAGCAAAGCCAGCAAGTGCAGCTCCCAGTGTAGAATTGGCACTGAGGAGTCAATGTCACACTGAGCGAGCTGCTTTCAAAACAACCAAAAGACTGGTTGTGTCTCTGTGAGACGGTGTGTGCAGATGCTGCCGTTTTTTTAGTTTTTCGTTTTTGTCAGTGTATGCCCAAGCCTACAAATATACCACACATTCTGAAAGTCTAACAATATCATATTGTATAGTTGTTGTTGTGTTTTGTGTGTGTGTGTGTTTGTCACAATTTGAAAACTATGCTTTAGAGAGCAAAAGTCTTTACCCCAGGATGCACAAGCTCATACTGTAACAAAGTCTCGAGTGGTATTATGTGTCATTATACACCAACTATTTGACATAAATTTGCCTCTCCCGCCTCACTGGGCGAGAAGAAAAA